TTTTATTGGTGTTTAGCAGATATTCATAAGGGTGGAATTCACTGTGGTATATTTATACAAGTGCAAAAATATGAAATACTTTATGAATTTGCATGTCATCCTTGAGCAGGGGCCACGCTGATCTTCTCCGTGTCCTTCCAGTTCTTGTGTTTGTGTTGCTGAAGTGAGCATCCTTTATTTTCTTTATTTCTGAATTTAGGAGCATTAGAGAGAGGGCCTATAGGGCCAAGTCCTCCACTCCCTGTGCACCTGTCTCCCCAGGTGTGCCTGCCTGGAAGCGTCCTCTCAGAACTGGCCAGCCCTTGGGGGACTTGATCCACCACTGCCCTTGCTGGCTCAGAGTGCCCTCCATGTTGCTCAAGGTCTTATCAAATTTCCCTGCAAATATTAATCCTGTGCCTCTTTTATAAGATAGCTGACAAACCTCCCATTGCCCTGACAGCAAATCTACAGGAGGGAAGAGATATAGTATGCATAAAACAGAATTAAAGAAATCATCATAAATTATAATTGCAGCCAAAGCAGACTCCATGCTCTTGCAACATGTGGGTCCTGGAAATGCATTTCTCATAGTCCCTCCTGGGCATCCAGAAAACCGGCATAGGTAACCACTGAGAAAAGATATTTCCTTCTCCTTTCTTTCATTCTCTCTCTTTAATACACCACAAACACCTTTACCTTAGAATGATCATTCACCTTCTCCACTCACTCATTTTCCCCCTGTTCTATGTGCTGTTTCACTCACCTCCATCAACCAATGGATCTTTCTGGGCACCAGGATACTAGATGCTCTTTCTGATTTTTTCCTTTTTATCTTTGCAGGGAACAAGCAACAGGGATATGCCTGCCTTTGTTTGAAAAGCTCTCTTTTCTCCTGCCAGTTTTTCACCCAACTCTTTAGTTTCAGAATCCTTCTAATCAGATTCCTTCAAGGATTCTCTTCTTCAATTACCTTTGCCCATCCCTAACTAAAAATTACGTTAAAGCTTGTTACTTAGCTATGTGTTTTTCTTGAGTCAATGTTTACTCTCTCCTCAAAAATACAAGCTATGTTTTCCAAGTTTTTAACTCCTTTGAATGAATACCCAAAGCATCTATCTAATGTTTAATTCAGTTATAATTTTTTATGTATCATGATGTTTCCATCAAGAATATTGTGTGTTGTGTGTGTGTGTGTGTGTGTGTGTGTGTGTGTGTAAAACAGAGGTAGTGGCTTGTGGGAAATGGGAGAGGAAAAAATATGTCAGGCTTACTTGTGGGACTTTTGAAATCATATTTTAAACTAGTGAGTTACAGATTCAGCATGAACTCATCACCTCAAGTTTTCTAAAATACTTTTAAAAAGAGGTATAAAATGGCTTTATTAGAAGGACAGAAGAGATTTAAGGGTTTCCTATAATGAATTCCATTAACTACATTCCAACACCACCTGCCAAAAGTACTCTTTCTCTATTGAGAATGGTACTCAAAATGAGACTATTCCATTTTACTTTCTACTTTTCTCTAAAATATCACTTTCCTACATTCTTCAGAATATGACCATGTTTCTAATAGAGATTGTGACCCTTCTAAATTATTCATGTTCCCACAAATTCTCCGTCTTTTTCTATCTAGCCAACCATTTATTTTCACTGAACAAAGAGTCCCAGGACTGAGAACATTTTGCTTTACCCTCCCTGAGCACCAGGATTTCCCCCATGTATTAGAGCCTTGGAAGTGAGACTTACATAGAAAGTAGGTTGTTTTGTTTTTAGTTCTGCCTTTTGTTTTCATTATGTCTGATAGTGGTTTCATCTTAGAACATACACCATGCATAGAAATTGTCACTTTCGCCTTTCTTGTGATTTAATCATTTTTCATTCTTGGGCCTTCAGGTGGAGGGTGGCCCCACTGACTCGTTCGCTTTCACCATTTGGCTTCCAGAACTGTAACTGGACACTGTTTTGCCTTTTGAAGCCACTATTTTGTAGCAGCAGGCCTGGGAGACCCATATAGCATCACCCACAGTACCACTGTCAGTGGTCTGGGGTAGACTCTCTCATTGTTTTCATATGGATGTATTTATCCATGCAAAGGGGAGGGGACAGAGCAGAGGTGGACAGAAGCAAAGACTTTCTAAAGTGAAAGTAGATCTTAAAAAATACTCTCTACTTGAATTAAATTTATAATATTTTTACTATCTTAATTGAGCTGACTTGGGTCTGTGGGATCAAGTTATATCCTTTGTACAAAAAAATTCTCTATTGAGAAGGTGTTAAGGAACAAGAAGAGATAAGCAGAAAGGACTTAATAGCACAGAGACTCTAGCAAAGAAAGGGACAAATTAATGTTTACCTCCTTCTGAAAGAGCCGTACGGAAAGATCAAACTCTAAAATGAATATCAAATACATTCTGTGTAAGGTTGGCATGCTGACCACTGACACTTCCAAAATGCTAAGATATTTTGAGTGCTTTTCTATAAATCTGTCTTCCCCACACTTATGTCTATGTAATCTGTTGTCTTTTCATGACTTGTTTTGGTTTACCTGATGTGTGCTCTTTCAAAGGCTTCCAAACTAGGACTTTTGTTACATTTGAAAAAAAAAGAAGAAAATTGCATTTGTCTAACAGTGTGGGATTATGAGCTATGAATTGCACCTTACCATAAAATGTTTTCTAAACACACAAAAGTGG